CCCCCCTATGACCTGCTACTGGACAGACCCCACCCTCCTGCGAAGGTTTCAGGTCGATATCTCCAACGGTGTCCGAATGCATAGCGTCAGATGGACAGAGACAGACAGAGATCCTTGCTTATAGATATAGATATGATATTAACTGAAAACACCAAAAATGCGATACATATAATACGATCTTTATATACATATATTTATGGTTCCATGCATTTTCTGGTTAAATAATTACCAGCACCACTAAAAGCGGTCACATTCATGACATATAGAAAAGCAATTGCAAATTTACATGAAAGGCATAAATTTGCATTGCTTGTGGTAATGACAATAATGTTTCTTGTTCCTGTATATTTGCTTTCTGGCACTTCGCACAACCCCCTCGCGTTAATGAGGCTCATGACTCATGGCTCATGGCTTCAATGTAAAAATGGCATGTATCATGTTATATTTACATTACATCGTGTAAATATAAATTTAACTAAATTTAACTGTAATTTAATGCAGCATTAGATTCATTTATTGCGGCTCTGCAGCTTGAAAACGAAGTGGATTTATCTCGCTCCGTCCTCAGCAAATTTGGATCAAATTTTTAGAAAATAATTTTTTTTACGTGTATTGACGAGAATTGAAAAAACTTAGAATTGCGAGGAAAATTCAAAAATGAAATTTTTAGTCCCTCCGAAAATAGACTTGCTTTGAGCATAAAAACATGGTTAGTGATGCAGCAGTTATTTATATTTTTTAAATTAATGATCTAATTCATTTAATGATAATTTAATGTGTTAATTTCAACTCAAAATACTTGATAAGAAATACAGAAAATTCTTGAAAAAACCATGGAAGCAGTACTTTTTGTAACTACTAGAATCTGGCTTTTTTTTTTAAATTCATCTCAGCTCACCCCATTCTACGTCATGTAATGTTTGCGTGATTGAAAGGATTTATATATTTATATAGGATTTATATGCTCTCGTACCGTTGGAGTCGCTCTTAAATGGGAATAATTTGCTTTTTATCAAATTTCCTTTTGCATGATCGTGATTGCCTACCGGTTCTGTGACGTGAGGTCAGGCGCAGAGTGCTTCATTAAACTGTTTCCCCGAGTATCAGGAGGAGTCATTCGGGAGGGGTTGAATTCGTAACACCGCGTTAGTCACGCTCGATTATTTTTAAGATCCGGAGGAGGAATCCGGTGGCGGAGGGAAACGCGAGGAAGCAGGAAGCGAGAAGAGGAGGAAGGGAGGAGGTCATTCAGACCACGTTTCTTCCTTCTCATAACGGGGGAAAGAAGGAAAAAAACTTTGGGGGGGGGGGGGAGAGGAAGGGGGGAGGGGGGAGGGGGGGGGACTGTGTTCATTTTCATATTCACGCCGGCGTGTAATGCCGTTCTTCCCATGGACCCTCTTTTATAAAAACCAGAGACATACTTCACTCTGAGTCTCTCCCTCGGCTACCTTCACTAATGATCTCATCATCTCCTTTTCTCTCCCTTTTCTCTCCTTTTTTTCCCTTTTTCCTCCTTCCTGCGTAATTATACAGTCTCCCTCTGAGATTCTCCTCGCTTCTCGTCGCTGGATGCGCCTTTTTGCTCTGCTGACCCGACGAAAACTTGAGAAGTCCAAGAAATTAGTTATAGCCAATAAAATAAGTACAAATTTGTGTTGATGCATTGATAAATGATGAAGTAATCGTGAATAATAAACTAATGACGTTACTAATTTGAATAACGAACCAGAAAAACGCTCGTTAAACGAAGGCGATTAGTTTCCGCACTAAAAATTTTTTTCTTCCCATGATCGAACGCGCAGCCTTGGAGATGCATCGATTGCCCAATCCCGCAATTGCCCCGATTGCCCCAATTGCCCCCCGTGGGCCCAACCGGCAGTACCGAACGCGTACGTCCTCGATTAGGGCAGGGGAAAGGGTGGAAAAAAAAAACCTTAAGGGCGGAAGGGTCGTCGTTGACCTTCGACCTTGGTCTCAGGGATCCCCGCAATCATTCTCTCTCTCGGGTGGCAATTTGGAGCTATTTATTAGGGATCCTAATAGGGTTTTCATTTGAACCCTACATCACGGTTGATCAATCGATCCCGCTGACTTCTTTTTTTTCCCTCCCCTCTTTTTTTTGTTGTTGCCCCCGACGCGTGCTTACTACCGGCCTTCTCCTCCGCATTCCTCATCATCGTGTAAATCATTACGAGGATTATACCTTCCATGCCGTCCACTGCAAGGCGAATCCCAACTTTTGGAATAATTAAGCAAAATTAAAAATTAACGAGGAATTTCATCTGATTCTGCCATGTCTTCCGCGCTTCTGAATTTTTAAAATTATTTTATGTGTATTATATATTTTTATTAATTTAATTAAATGTATGTACCACAATCTGACGAATCTCGG